ACTGGAAGAGACCAGCCTCAAAATGCTCCAGTCTAGTCGAATCAATAGAAGTCATCATCTCTTCACCTATCACCGTACTTCTAGTCAAGTAGTACAAGTTACTCCTCCTGACATCCTTCATCACAATACGTGAGCCTCTTACAATCTCGAGAACCACGTCCTCAATATGAACTTTCAGACCCTCTCCAGCTAAAGCTCTAATCGAGATCAGGTTTTTCCTCAAGGAAGGAACATATCTCACACTATGTAACTCTCTAACTATCTCATCATACATCTTGATACAAATTTTACCTATCCCAAGGATCTGCCATGCACGGTTATCACCCATGTACACCACACCATTATCCAGCTTCTCAAAACTAGATAACCATTCTCTTTTAGGGTACACATGATAGGTTGCATCATTATCCAACATCCACTCGGATTCCTCCGAATAACAACCTGTAGGACTGATAGAGAGCAAAAAAAAAAAAAAATAGATGAGTAAGAAATATTACCATCCGATTTGACGATGTTTGCTTCTGATGAGGGAAACAAGAAAGGAATAGCGACTTCTTTAGGTTTGGTACCAGGCGGTGTGCCAATGGTTCTTGTATTGCTCGCCTTCCCCCCTTCTGCTTGTTCTTCATCCATTCACTGAACTTTAGACAATCTTTCTTCCAATGACCAATCTTTCTTCCAAGGAACATATCTCATTGTAATCCACACATTCTCTTTGTACAAACCCTTTAGCCACTAGCCTAGCCTTGTACCTTATACCACCGAGCTCTGAAGGATCCTCCTTTTTTTTATATACTCACTTACAACCAATAGATTTTCTTCCTATGGGCAATAGAACTATGTCCCATGTTTGGTTTTTCCGAAGAGATTCCATCTCCTCCTCCATCGCAGCCAACCAATTCTCACTATCTTTAGCCCGAATAGCTTCTTTGAAGGTGACCGACTAATCATCCTCCACCGAGAGTGCGTAATCTACCAAATTAACATGTCCATAATGCTTCAGGGGTTGATCAGACCCTAGCTTCAGTACCTGCTTGTATGCTCGCCTTGGCCTAGTGGAAGCCAAACTATCCTCGAGCTACTGTTGTTATAGTGTCTGTGTATTTTCTTACTGAACCTCCTCCTGTTCAAGCTCATCATCTTCATGATCCTCCTCTTGAACACGATTAGAACCTGGTTGGTCCTTAGGTTTTATTTCAATCACCCGGGACTTTAAAGTCCCAACACCATTAACCTTGGACGCCCTAGCAATTATGAATTTCTCATCAAAAGTAACATCCCTGCTGATCACGAACTTCAAATCTTCTGTACACCAAAGACGATAGCCTTTTACACCATTTGCATACCCCAAGAATATACCTTCTTAGCCCTCGCGTTAAGCTTTTCCTCATTAACGTGATAATAGGCGGTACACCCAAAAATCCGGAGCCTCTGCATGCTCCAATGACCATACCCTAAAGGGTGTATCACCATCTAGTGTAGAATGTGGAGACCGATTCACTATGTAGCAAGCTGTAGCATTCAACTCTGTCCATCATTCTTTGCCAAAACCAGCATATGATCACATACTCATTTCTTTCTTCCACAGTGTACGGTTCAGCCTCTCCGCGACCCCATTCTGCTGTGGTGTTGATCTGACTGTTCAGTGTCTAGCAATGCCCTCCTGATCACAGAACTCCTTGAATGTACCATCTGTATACTATGTACCATTGTTAGATCTTAATGTCTTCAATTTCTTCCCTGTCCTATTCTCAACTATCGCCTTCCACTTCTTGAATGTCTCAAATACCTCATTCTTATGCTTCAGAAAATAAATCCAAGCATATCTAGAATGATCGTCTATGAACGAGACAAAATATCTAGAGCCATCCTTGGAAGTTATCTGAGCCGGACCCCAAATATCTGTGTGCACATAATCTAGTATCCCTATGCTCTTATGATTGCTTCTCAAAAATTAAACCCTGTGCGTCTTTCTATACACACAATCCTCGTAAAAATCCATGCAAGGTTTCTTCAGATTCTTCAGCAAATCCTCTTTACCAAGCAGATTTAGGCCCTTCTCTGACATGTGCTCAAGCCGCTTATGCCATAACCATGTGTGCTCACATGGGTCTCCACCACGTCCATCAGTTCCAACCGCTGCATCTCCTGTCACTATTGTACCCGAGAGGGTATATAGATTACCATGACGAATACCCTTCATCACTGCTAAGGAATCCCAAACAACTTTTTTTACTTCGTTCTCTGTTACTATTCTGCAACCACCGGAGTCTAAAGCACCAACTGAGATAAGATTCTTTCGCAAGTCAGGAACATGCCTCATATCTGTCAGGGTTCTGACCACTCCATCATGCATCTTGATTTTGATATCGTCAAGCCCCATCATTTCACAACCATGGTTATTCCCCATCAATACGGTTCCACCATCAATGCTTCTATAGATAGTAAACCACTTTCTATTTGGGCACATATGGTAAGAGCAACCCGAGACGTAACTCGCCTCTTCCTTGCATTCTCTCCTCTCGGTTTTATTGTTGTTCTTTTTCTCACCTACTCTCTTATTAGGACAGTCGGCCTTGAAATGTCCAACTTCACCGCATTTGAAACACGCTCTTCCCACAAGAGGTCTCGCTTTTGATCTAGACTTTCCTCCCTTGCTTTTTCCTCTCTCATTGTCCCTTCCTCTAGCAAATAGACCCTGAGCTTGCTCCTTGTTACCACTAGTGGTCATGTCACTAGTTATAATTTTTCAAAAATGATCGGCCAGAAGCGTCGTTCTAGTCTCATCCATCGTCAAATTGTCTCCTACAAGCATCAATATTTGTATCAGGTTCTCGTAAGACTTCAGTAAAGAAAGAAGTAGCAGAAGTACTTGATCCTCATCTTCTACTATCATATTAATATCCTTCAAATCCGATATGATCCTATCAAACTTGTTGATGTACTCCCGGATTGACGAGCCTTCATCCATTTTGCAAGTATACAATTTGGATTTTAAATAGATCCGATTTGTTAGACTCTTCATCATGAATGTACTCTCTAACTTTGACCACACGCCCGTAGTTGTTTCCTCTCCATCTACCAAGAAAGCAACATCCATCTCAAGGCATAGGATAATCGATGCCCGTGCTTCGAGATCTAACTCTTCTCAATCCTCATCGGACATATCTTTGTGCTTCTTCTCTTTTCCTACCAAAGCCTTGTGCAATTTCTACGAAATCAGTGAATTTTTCATCTGCATCCTCCAATAGAAAAAATCATTCTTCCTATTGAATGTTTCGATATCGTACTTTTCAACTTTAACTATTTTACTTGTAGACGCCATTCTCCACTTGTATTAATAAAACCGCTTCTCTCAGGAATTTTAACAAATACTTTGTGTTTACCATACAATAATTAAGCACCACCTCAGATCAGAAATTTTACCATCTCCAATCTGAATAAAGAGCTCTGATACCAATTGTTGGGCGCAGAGTCATGTCCTCACGCCGCAGAAGCAATATAACCTGAGATAAAGCCCTAACTTTTATTTTCATAAAAGCTCAAGTCAACCTCTATATTTCCGCTTCACAAAGGAAACAAGAACAGAAGTGAAATATCTTAACAAAGTGAGATATACAATCTTCTTCTCAGCAATTCTAGGACTGAATGTCGAGGGAACCTACAAGCAATAGCCAATACACATTTTAATACACGAGATTTACGTGGTTCGACAAACTTGCATATGTCCACGGGAGGGGGTTTTACTATGAGGAGAATACCAAACTTGTACAACTCACAAGCTCTCTCGTTTTCTTCTCTTCTCACTCACTCTTCACACCACATTTTCTTTTCTTCCCCACAACTTCTCTCTTCCTCACCTCTCCTATTTATAAGCCAAGAAGAGGGGACAATAGAGTATGAGTGAGCATGGGGGGAGCATGGGGGTTCCATCATCTCTTGTCTCACCATCCCACATTCACACAATTTACACCAACAAAATCATATCATACGCTCTTTAAAAACGTGAGTTTGAAAAAAAAAACTTCATGTGAACAAAAATACCCTCAATTCATTTTAATACTTAAATCTAACTTTATCCTAATTAATAATAAGTTTATTCTGTTATTGTTAACTCAAATCACTAGTAGAAAACAGAGTATTGGCGACGGGGAAATCTGTCGCCAATGCAGTCAAATCCGTCACGAATGCACATTCGTGACGCCCACTTGCCCGTCACCAATAATCCCCTCGCCAATACACATTGGCGACGGGGTCATCCGTCGCCAATGTACATTGGCGACGGAGAGGTATTGGTGACGGGAAAACGACAATCTTGTCGTCGCCAAAACACATTGGCGACGGGGTGCTTTCCGTCGCCAATGTGTTTTGGCGACTACGAGTTTGCAGTCGCCAAAACACATTGGTGACGGCGTGTTGTCCGTCGCCAATGTTTATTGGCGACAAAATGCACCCCGTCGCTAATGTTTATTGGCGACGAAAATCTAGCCATCGCCAAAACACATTGGCGATGGAAAACACCCCGTCACTAATGTGTATTGACAACGGGGTTGAACTCATCGCCAATGATTATTGGTGACGGAAAGCACCCTGTCGCTAATGTTTATTGGCGACGGTGATGTATGTACATTGGCGACTGATTTCCCCATCGCTGATGTTCATTAGCGACGGACCTTTTCGTCGCTAATGAATATAATTCGGGAAAAAAAATTGCTACTTTTTGAGCCCCATTTGGGAATATATACCTGTTGCTTCCAATATTCATAAAATATTCAACAATATTCACATTCATCGATTCACATTTAACAATATTCACATTCATCAATTCACATCCAATAGTATTCACATTCATCAATTCACATCCAACAGTATTCACATCCATCAATTCACATCCAATAATAATCACATTCATCATTCATCGATTCACACACACACTATATATGCTCAACACAATCAAAAAATTGACAAAAGTAACAAAAGTAACAAAAAATCGACAAAAGTAACAAAAAAGTATAACTTCACGTATATATATAATCCGGAGGTCATTATATGCTCAACACAATCCAAAAGTCGATAAAAGTAACAAAAAAGTCTAACTCAGTACTCATTCATCGTAGTCATCTTGGTCCCTATCGTCGTGATCCCTATCGTCGGCAGCGGCTGCATCAAAATGTCGTATCGTACTGCTGCTTCCTACAGTACCTCCTCTAGCCTGAAAAGAATGTAAATCAATATGAGAATATATTCCAAATATTCATAATAACTGCATATATAATATGACATACATACCTCTCCATCACTTATAGCTGCATGCTCATTAAATGCCATCCTCATGATATCCATGTATATAGGCTGCGGAAGCAAGTCCTTTAAGGGTTGAGAATCGATGAGTCGCTGAAAAACATCCCAGGTCATTTGTGCACCGCCTAACTCGTGTTTAATAGTGGGAAGAAAGCTTAAAACCAAAGAGGCTTCAACATTCTTCAACAAGTATTGACCAATCTTACCCACGACGTATGATGTGTCACATGGTCGCGTCGAGATCACAGATTGGCTGCTAGGCTTATTGGTGGTGGTGAATTTCTTAGCTACAACACTTGACAAAGGAACTCTTCCTTTCTTTCTTGGTTGTAAACCGTAAGCTCCGTCGACGACTTCCATCCACTCGTCTCTGGTCATGCGGTTAGGCTCTACAGGAGTGTCCTCTGTACCCTGAGACTGACTGACACGGGTCAAGACCTCGTTTTGAGAAGCTTCCACCGCCGCCTGTATATCATATATCATAAAAGTTAGAAACTTTGATGAGAAATCATTAAGTATATACAAATCTAAAATTAATCTTATACTTACGACCAATTCATTAATTTTCTCCACTTTTTTGTCATTTCCCTCTACATTTTCATAGCCCTGGGGCGGTGTATAAGCTCTTCTAGCAAGAAGAGCCGGGGGCATAGTCAAAGCGTCCTGTGATATATTAAATTTCAAAGTAAATGTATAAAACTAATCACATGATATCAGTTTTAATAATATGATCATACCGGGTTTTCACTCAAATACTTATGCTCGATCCGAGCATAAGGAGTAGATCCTAAGAAGTGATCGTATATCTTCATTTTGCGATTCACCGATGCTGTCTCACATATTTTCTACAAAATAAAGTACTTTATTAGTATGTGCGATGATTATATATAAATGAAAAGTAATGTCATGATAATATCTTAAATTAAAAATAATCCACCTTCTTCTCACCCTCCCACTCAATAATGAGAGTCATCCAATTAAATGGATAAACTCTCTTATCAAGCTCATAGATCCTCTTCCAATCAGTAGATATTTTTGTAAAATATCTATTTTTTAGAGCACTCTTCCAACCCCGAATAAGCTTGGCCATTTTAGGGATAACATAATCCCAAGACTCTGGGTTGTCCTCAAGACAATAATGATCCTGCAAGTTACATGGCAAAAAAATTACACTATAAGAATAATCATTGTGAATTGTAAACAAAATAAGCAGTATAATAGATAATTACCATGAGCTTCACCCAAATCTCCTTTATGCCTTTAAATTCTTGCTCCTCAAAGTTATGTGCAATGTTAATTGAGCATGGATCTCTTATTAAACAACCTATCAGGTTATTAAATCTGACGGCCCAATCCCCAACAGGAATGTTGCCATTCCACTCCAAAATGGCCCGGTACCCTTTCGGAGGTACTTTCGTCTTTTCCTCACTCCCATGTCTACCGGGTTTCTCATAATCTTTTTTGCCTACAAATACAAAGAGAAATAAATTTCTTATAAACTTACATAAATAAATAAGTAAGCAATCTCCAAAGTTTATACGAAATTATTACCCCTTTCCCTCATTAGATCATCCATAGCATTATCTAGTCTTTGTTTTATGGCACGCTCCTTTCTTTTAATATAATCTCTCCTGATTTTGAAGTCCCTATCGCATTTTTTTTGTAATGCAATAGCTTTTTCAGGTAGAGGGATGTGATATACTGATGGAGTCCAATGGCGGAGACATGCTCTCTCTGACTGAGAAGATCC